AAACAAAGATATTCACACACAGCTCTAGGAAAGAAGACATCAGTGTTTCAGAACTAGAGTTAGCCCGAAGCTTGTAAGAGTCAAGCGGTAATAGAGAAGGAAGCGTTTGTGTTGCTATTTAAAAAATGCATCCTGGCTTCGTCTATGTTACACCGCGCTCATTTTCTAAGGTCATACCAGCAACTCTAGTCAGTCAGAAATATATGTTGTCCGTTGACCTTTCATACACTAATGCCATGCTTAGTTATGAACGCAAAGAGAAGAGGTTGTTTTGCAAAAAGTGATGCTGGAGTTGGCAAAATCCAAAAGTGTTAATTATTGGAGATTCATTTAAATGGAGAAAAACATTTTTGTGATTAGTCGTGGTTTTACTTATTTGAGTTTTAATGTTTAGATTCAGTGGTTTGAAGTAATTAAATGTTGGAAGGAAAATTAAACCATAGACATTTTAACAGTTAGAAAATCACAGGTTGAACTGGAAATATTACCCAATTCAAAAATTAGTTGATTGATAAAAGATTAATATTTTTAAAGCAAAAATGCCAAACCTTTTCAGGTTGAAGCCTCAAACACAACTATTTGCAGCGTTTTCTCTGTTTCACAACATTGTCAATTGTTTGTAATTGGTATTTCGACAGTTTGCCTCAAGGGAATTCAAGACATCCCCATGTACTTATTCAACTTATTTTTGCTCTGAAAAACAGGGCTATGGGAATGAATGTGTGTTATGGCTGTCAACAGACACTGTCATCTTTTTAATCCGTCAACAAAATGAAAAAATATTTTGGACCTGGTATTGTCCAATCTTCTGACTCGGTTCTGGAAATATATGCAAAACTGTATATTCATAAAACAAGGATTATTTGCATGTTTAAACATAAATGGCCATGGTGTAATCTATTAGATATTCATTGACCCTTTTCACCTATGGGTGCCACCTCTTTAAAAAAAAGTGCATCGTGATTATTGACACTGTTTGTTTTTGTGCACAGGTGAAGGTGTGGTTCCAGAACAGGCGGACTAAGTACAAGCGACAGAAGCTGGAGGAGGAGGGCCCGGACAGCCAGCAGAAGAAGAAGGGGAACCACCACATCAACAGATGGCGCATGGCCACCAAGCAGCCAGGCTCCGAGGACATAGACGTGATCTCGGAGGACTAAAACCTCCCACAATGCTGCCCTAAAAACCAGAGGACCAACACTATTTATTATGTAATATTATTAAGTATAACTAGAGACATTAGAAAAAGGACTAAATCACCGCACATCTCTTCATCGTGGTGACACTGGAGAAAAACATCTTATTTAATGACTTCCATTCTGAATGTCTCTGAATGAGGATAATAATCTTTGGTGAGACGACCAAAGATGAAGAGAACAACATCTATCATAGTCTGTTTTTTTAAATATTGTACATAGTCCACGTATAAAGGTTGTTTTTTGAAAGAGGCTATTTGTTTCATTAAAGCTGTTTCTACCACCTGCTTAGGTCATTAACACCTCATTGCTCCCCCCATTAAATCGGCCACCTGTGTACCGACTTAATTTAAAATTCTCCTCTACGACAGGAAATGTTTTAATCCACCAAGTCAGCCGGAAAACAGGCTCTCCAGAAGAGCAAAATACTCAAGGAAGATCCCAATTTGCAGCGTGATTTTATTGTCACTGCTGGGACCCGTTCCTGCGCTCCGCTCTGCTTCATAATGAACATTTCTGCACAAAAAAGGCTATTGACGACCAGCTGTGCGTGACTTTGGGACAGACAAGAAGCTGCACAGACCTTGGAAGTTAGGAGCGAGTTGTGCCACACGTTAAAAAGGATTTTCACAGCTTTGTGCGTCTTCTGCCATGCCACATTTGTCATTTGTGGTGTGATGGATGACTTCATTAAAGTGTAGTACAGAACATACTTTTCAAGCAGCACATGTGAGTACAAAAAAAGAAGTTTTAGAAATAAAGCTATTCTCATGAGACATGTAATGTTTTTGTGTAATTCAGCTCTTGCTTTTTACATAGTGTCAAACAGCCTGAAGAAGACAGCATTGTTAATTTTTTCTCCAACAACATTTCAGCTGCAGATTTCACCCATTAGTTCCTCTGCGGATGAAGGTGAAGCTGAAGGTGCAAATCAGTGTGAAACATGCTGCTGCAGCGTTTGATTGGAACAAAAACCCTGCAGACACTCGGGCTACTATATGGCACATGAAGTTGTGATCAGTGAAATTCAACAAGGGTTGTCCCTGTTCAGGTTGTTTAATGCATTAAACTAGAGCTAAAGGGTACTCGTACAACCAAACAAAAAATAAAAGGTCTTACTTAAATGCACAAAATGGCTTCTATTGCTGTTACTGCAGCTTTTGCAGTGTTGCCCTTGCACAGTTTGGCAATCATAGGATGGAGGGGAACGTGAGCTCAGTGTGTTGCTCTGTTAAGATGCAGATGCTAAAGAGGTTTTTACTGCGAGCAAAATAATCAGCCAAAGGCTCCTCTCCAAAACAAATGGACACACAAGTTAAAAGCGGTAAAAACACAGAGTCATGCTAAAAATCATTAGGGTGTGTTTCTCCAATGATGTTAGTATGTGTTTCTCCAATGATGTTAGTATGTGTTTCTCCAATGATGTTAGTATGTGTTTCTCCAATGATGTTAGTATGCCGCTAACATTTTCTACTGCATTCAAACTCAAAATCAAGTCAAAGCTCCAAAGTAATATCACCAAAATATACTTTTAGTACCAAAAGTAAAAAAACTCATTATGCAGAATGGCCCATTTCACTACCGTATTGTCTTTCTGTATAACAATCAGTGATACATGGATGTGTTTATCACTGTAATATTGCAGCTTGTTAAGGTGGGGCTAGCTATAATGTTTTCATATATTGCTGGGTAGCTTATAACCTATTCTAATACACCATGATTTACAGTATTAGTTTATTTATATGTTATATTAATGATTAATCTGCAACATAGTTAAAGCAGTCAAAAATGTGTAGCAAGCAGAGTAAAAAGTACAAAATCATGCATTCAAAATGTATTGGAGTAGAACAAAAAGTATGATTAAATTGACATTTTAAAGTAAAGTATAAGAACTTCAAGTTATACTCATGGTACTTGAGTAAATGTACTTGCTGTTGCATTCCACCAACAGGACACCGGTTCTATGTTGGGGCTCATTGATGGAGACCGAGGTGTCAGAAAGGTGCAGGACAGTTGCACAGGTGTCAGGTGTGTTACCGGTATTTCCTCTGAATTCCAGCAGAAGGGGGGGACACAGAAAAAGATCCCATCCACAGGGTGCAGCCTCTGGAAAAAGAAAGAAAGAGGGAAAGTAGTTACTATTGTGCGGCGGCTCTTTCACCAAACAGCCTCAGTAATCACCTGTCAAAAGAAACGGAAGGAATCTCCTCCTAATGACCCAGAGGCTTCAGAGATGAGCCCTAAAGTCTGACCCTGATGTCTTGTTTTGAAAGCTAAGAAACACAGAGAGAGGGAGAGAGAGAGTAAAGAGGAAGGGGGAGGCAGGGGAGGTAAACTGCAGTAGTCTTGCAAACATCTGCAGTTGCAAGAGGGGCCTTGTTTTGAGTTCCCAGGGTATCCTATACTCACTGCAGCTGCAAATACACATAAGTTCATAAACACCAACAGAGGTGGATTTTAAGCAGGACAGTTACTTAAACTCTGAAAGCACTATAACATACTATGGCTTGGCAATAAGTCAATATCAAATTAATATCGTCATATGATGTCTTTCCCTGGTTTTAAAGGCTTTACAGTGAAGTGATGTCATTTTCAAATTCCCCATACTGTTCGCTTTTTCCCACTTAGACATTATATTCACATTACTGAAGATTACTTATCAAAGAATTCATTGTGAAAGCACACACTAGTCAACCGTTCATTGTTGTCGCAGTATCAACATTGTGATATTTGATCATAAATATTGTGATATTTGATGATCTCCATATCGGCCAGCTCCTAATAGTGGAGCAGGAGGTGTGTTCGAGGCCAATCAGGTCTCCGTTAGGTAAAAGGTCAGCACGATTACCGAGAGCCGCACCTCTCATTCGCCTGTTAGGAAAACAATTAGGGCGGAAAATCACGCCTGTCTCCCTAAACGCTGCGTCTCCTGTCGCCTGAGTCAGCAGAGAAGGAGAGAGCAGAGAAAAACAAAGAGCTTCTCCAGAGAGATGCAGGGGGGGGGGAGGGGGTGCATCAGACTGCTGCTGTCCCGAAAGACAAGCACTGGGTTGATTATTACTGTCTGATTACCGGGTTTCTGCACAGGATTAAAAAAAGCCTTATTTTCTATGAGCAACAAATGACACATCTTTAATTGTTGGTTTTAAATTGCATGCAGCTTAGTCACCGTTTGATATTGCATCAATAAATGTATTTCTGCTTATATTATCTAATTTGACATTACAATAAGGAAGGTTGCAATTAAACTAAGCGTGCTAAAGATCAAATACAATTGGTGCTTTCCCCCAAAATATAAAGTTATGTGTCATTTTAAAATGTAATTAGAATTTAGAAATGTAAAACATATCTTGAACATTCTTGGGAATTTGTTGAAAAGGTAAACTCACTAACAATTATAATTTGTATTGAGTCATAAGATACATTCTTGAAATATAGTCAGAATTAAAGCCATCAGGTAATATTTCAATAAAACTTACATTATTACAGTAAACTTCTAAGGGTAAACACACATGTGATTACAAACACAACAGCCATTATAATAGTTAAAAGCCAATAGGATTGATAATTATTTGGGTTTTGCATTTGTCTTACCCGAGTTACAGCCAGCATCCTCCGCTGGTGCTGCATGTGGCTGCTTGTCAACGTGCGTTTCCTCACACATCACACAGATCATGACAAAAGATAACACTTGTAGACAGGAAGTTTATATAAATCAAGTCCAAGTACATACAAAAGACATTTAAAAAGAAACAATATGGAATACAAATCTCCATATTTTACATTAAGACTTGTATGTGTATATAAAGTATTAACTTGTTTTATTAAAAAACTACATTCATCATTTAACTACATTACAATGTTTTCAATACAGGCTTTTGTGGTGAAAAAAAATCACATTGTCATTGGATGATTTCCATGAGATATACATTTGTTTTAAAATGTATTGCAGTTCACAGTTCGAGTTTACAAGAAAGGTTTTTAGATGTAGACGCACTATACCAAAATCAGGCAGAGCAACTTTTCCAGTTGGCTGAAACCATTAAATAGGAGTTTCGCAACATAGGGGTCAGCACCCCTACAAGGGGTCGCGAGAAGAATGTGCTGGGTTGCAAAATGATTGCCCAGGTAAAGAAATCAGAAAAACAAAATGAAGTTCATATTTTGGACTTTACAATTAGCTTTTTTCTTGTGCAATATTTTAGATTTTCCCTCTAGACATGCAACCTCTGACACCAGGTCGTAAGACTCGCGTTAGCTTTATATAAAAAGCAAGAGAAGGTCGGTCGTTTCATTATAAACAAGAACAAAAAACTATTTAAAAGGAAATGCATTTCAGTCATTTTTCCTGATTTCATTTACAGTATTTACATTTACAATCCAGAACACATGGTCGGCTCGGACTGGAGTACAGTAGTACATTTACTCAAATGATGTACAATTTGGAGGTACTTTACTCCTGCACTTCAGAGGGACTTGACAATATGATGATTCAGATTCTCATCATGCAGGAATTCACTTACTACTTTACTTTGAGTATTTGGTCCATCACTATCTAATCCACTAATTATTCTACTAAGTTTTTTCTAAGTTAACCTCAAAATGTATTGTCTTTTACAGGTAAGAAGAAACCATGCAAGCTAAAAGAAAATAGTTTTTGATAGTTGCTATTCGAGTTACTCCATAAATATATTTTGTTATTTTGTTGGTCGGTGTGCATGTCTTAACAGGGATAGTAATTCCTAAAAGGTGTTGATATGTGTTATTTATTATATATTGTCTTGGCAAAAACAACGTGTATCCTTTCTGTAAACATATGCCTACTTTTCACAGGATAACGCAGCCAAGTTTTTTGCATAATTCAGTCTTCTTACTTTATTCCTATATTTAGATGTTTGGCAGAGCAGATCACTCACAGGCCTTTATTGTATGTCACAATCTTACAATCTGTTGCCATGGCGATCTCTGGCTCTAGCTGATTGACGCTGATCTGTGGGAATCAAAGCAGGAAAAAAAAGGTCATCAGTGCAAATAGAAATGCGTTTAAATAGCAGTCAGACATAAAACGCTAACATACAGTATGTGTAGATGCATCCATACAACGCTAACATACAGTATGTGTAGATGCATCCATACAACTCTACATGCAGTATGTGTAGATGCATCCATACAACTCTACATGCAGTATGTGTAGATGCATCCATAAAACTCTACATACAGTATGTGTAGATGCATCCATAAAACTCTACATACAGTATGTGTAGATGCATCCATAAAACTCTACATACAGTATGTGTCGATGCATCCATAAAACTCTACATACAGTATGTGTAGATGCATCCATACAACTCTACATGCAGTATGTGTAGATGCATCCATACAACTCTACATGCAGTATGTGTAGATGCATCCATACAACTCTACATACAGTATGTGTAGATGCATCCATACAACTCTACATACAGTATGTGTAGATGCATCCATAAAACTCTACATACAGTATGTGTAGATGCATCCATAAAACTCTACATACAGTATGTGTAGATGCATCCATACAACTCTACATACAGTATGTGTAGATGCATCCATAAAACTCTACATGCAGTATGTGTAGATGCATCCATAAAACGCTAACATACAGTATGTGTCGATGCATCCATAAAACTCTACATGCAGTATGTGTAGATGCATCCATAAAACTCTACATGCAGTATGTGTAGATGCATCCATACAACTCTACATACAGTATGTGTAGATGCATCCATAAAACTCTACATGCAGTATGTGTAGATGCATCCATAAAACTCTACATGCAGTATGTGTAGATGCATCCATAAAACTTTACATGCAATTTGTAACAGTTTCATAAATATATTCTTAAAGGCTTCAAATGTTCTGTATTTACAGCTAATGTGTAAAACGAGCCAATTTGGCAGAGGAAAGTCTAATTTGAGGTTTGCGGCTCCTAATATTTGAACCAGAGACAGATGGCTGTTGGAGTTGGAGGCAGAATCCTAATCAGACATCTTGGTAGGTGTGAAATGGGGAAGTGGGACAAATTGAGTAGGCAGGGGGTCCAGGGGAACAGGGCATTCATGTTGCTTTTTAGGGAGTTTTTTTTCACCTGCTATCTTAGCGAAAGTGCAACAAAAAAAAAGGGGCTTGTGAGAGAAAAACAGGCCCCTTTCGTGGAGCGGGAGGCAGCTTTTCACAGGACTGTCAGCAACACATATGTCTGAAGTTTTTGTGCCATATGGCTGTCTGAGATATTTCCAGTGGTAATTAATTCCTAAACATTTTAAAGCTAGGGCTGCTTGTCTTGTGTCAGCGAGTCATTTGGCAAAGACAAGACAAAAAGATAGAGACATGGAGTGAAAAACAAAACGCCATTTAATGAGTAGTGTGACACATACTGAGGCAATAAGGCTCAAGTTAGATCTCAACCTGCATGGCTTCGATGAATGGAGGCAGTAGAGACTGTGGGCAGATCATAACAGAGCGGGTTAAGCCTTCAAGGGATACGCCTCATTAGCAGAGCCTCTGTAAAACTCAATGGGGGACGATAAAGAGGTCAGGAGACCCCGGTCATCAACATCAGTCATGGCAGGCATGAGGATTGTTCTCGGTTGCTGTTCCCTCCTTCCAGAAATGTCCTCATATCAGACCGTAAAACACAGAATGATAAGACCTTAAAAAACTCCCCTTTCCTGATAAACTCCTTCCGCCACCTGAAGGCTAGCCTATTTGGCCGCTTTCCTTTTGATAGTTTGTTTATTTCTATTCCATTTCATTGCATCTTGTTTTTTCATATGGATTATTTTATTGTTAAGTGTCTCTGAGATGAAGTTCTATATAACAACAATGTATTATTATTATCATTATTATGAGCATAGCAGCTATTTAATACACAGAGAATGTGAAGAAGCAAGAATTGGTGTTAAAAAACAACTTCAAAAACACAATCTATTATATGTTAGGGCAAAGACATATTCCTTTGCATAGGAAGAAGTTATTTTTGGGATGACGTACCTGGGACATCTGTGGGAAGAGGCTGATGGCGAGAGGCAGAGCGAGGCCGAAGGCGGCGAGGCACACCAGGCTGTGGACAGGGAGGACGAGCCGCCGGCGCCTCTGCAGGAGAGGAAGCCTGCAGGGGGAAAACATCGACACTTTTTCATCTCACAGTTCATATAGAGAGAAACATAATAACCAACTCATTACATGGTTAAGTGACAGCAGTGGAATACAATGTATACTGGATTTGTTTAGCAATTCCACAATCATCTCAAAATGTTTAAAAGCAGTACAGTAAAGCTTAAGTAAACAGTGGAAATTTGTCCTATTTGCCAAAACCAATTTTCTGAATCAGATGTGGCCAATTAGACAGATGGATAGAGATAGGTACTTTATTGATCCAAATTTGGGACATTTTTGCATTGCAGCAGCATAAAAAACAAAAGGCAATGTACATGAGAGAAATTAAGACACAAGAAATAAACAGTCCAAAATATTTCAGAAATACAAATAAAATATCGTAAAAAATTCAAAAAGTTAAAGGTGGGGTAGGTACGTTTGAGAAACCGGCTCGAGGTACACTTTTTGTTATATTCCATGGAATGCTCTTAACATCCGATAGCAATGAATATCTTAAGTGCTTTGACAAAAAATCCATAAAGAAATGTCATCTGTGGAAGCCGTGGCGCTGTAAAAAGCACGACCAATCATTTGAGCCGGCCCGGCTAAAATAACTGGATGGCCTACCTGCCTGTCAGCCTTCCATCTGTGCACAAACTTATCTCGTGCACTCATTGGTCATGTGCGCGTACATGTGTGTTGGAGGAGGGGCTCTGTGAGGAAGTGGCAGATTTTTTCCAGCTGTGTATTTTCAAATTCTAGTGAGCAGGGCTGCATTCCAATAGTCCCTTTAGCTTAGGAACCTTCCTAACGGAGTGAAATGACCCGGAAGTACGTCACTGGCAGCCATGATAAGTGCCGTTCCAATTCTCCAAATGAAAGGAAAGGAGGTTTCAAACTTCCTTTATAACCTCCTTTAGCTTAGGAACCACTGGACCTCCCTAACCGAAAGGAGAGGAGAAAATTCTGCCCCACAATGCATTGCAGCCGCAGCATTTGCCATCACAACAGTCGGCCGTTCACGGACACAAACGATTATGGGAGAAATTATATCATGAAAGTTACGGTGCTTATTAAGCTTTTAAAAACGTATGTGGTACGTTGCCAAAGTGCTTTGTTTTGAACGTTCATCAGTATTATAATCAAAAAGAGAAATATGAATGTTAATTTTTACTGAAATGATCAAATAAAGTCAACATCTCAGTCTTTACTGAGCTGTGTGGGGTTTGTTCAACTTTTAAAAGATGTTTGAATGGTGATATACACAACACAGTGATAGATGTTAAGGACTAACGTTTATAATAAATACATTTATGATTTTAAGATATTTTCATACAATCATACGTATTGGGATCATTTGTATTAATGTGGACCGGAGGGAGAGGGTGACGAGCATAAGTTTCACTTTCCTTTTTTATTTCAATTCCAACTTTGGTCATGAAGAATATGTTTCTCTGTTGTCCCCGTTCATAAAGCATAAAACAACAGCACCAGAGCACGGTGCAGAGTCTCTAGATGAGTTTACAGTAGTCCCTCGTTCTTATTAAACATCCATGTTGTAGTCCGCTGTATAGAAAACTGTAGTTTCCATAGTTTCCCCACAGCAGCAGACGCACATTCATGACGTCCGCTGCCGCATCATAAACACGTCGGATCGTGAAAGTGCATTCGGATTCTCTAAAGTACCGCGGTCTCTTCTCCTAAGTCCTTTTGAATTATCCTATCCACTATCCCTTAACCCCGTGACGTTTCACTCAGAGGTCAAGGAATAGACGATAGGGTTAGAATTTAGGAGCTGATTTTTGGATTATCGGAACGCAACCCTGGTTTCTCCAAAATTACCTACCCCACCTTTAAAGAATATAAAATAACAATTAAAAAAAAGATATACATGTGGAAAATATACATGTGGAAATACACATTTCCAGTAACAAATATAATGAAGGATATTTTTGTGCAAAAATTGATACCAAAAACATCTCAAAATGTTTGAAAGCAGTACAGTTAAGCGTAAGTAAACAGAGGCAATTTGTCCTATTTGCCTAAAACTATTTTTGTAATCAGATGTGGTCAATTACTGGCATTTTTGGGATGCTGCCAAAGCAGCATCCCTCTCCTCTGTCATCATCCTGTTGGACCTGTCTGCTGCATTCGACACGGTGAACCATCAGATCCTCCTTCACACTCTCCAAGAACTTGGAGTTTCAGGCTCTGCACTTTCCCTCCTCACCTCATACCTCAAAGACCGTACCTACAGGGTGACTTGGAGAGGGTCCGAGTCCGACCCTTGTCAATTAACTACAGGGGTCCCTCAGGGCTCTGTTCTTGGTCCCCTCCTCTTCTCCCTGTACACAAACTCGCTCGGATCAGTCATTAGCCCGCATGGTTTTTCATACTACTGCTACGCTGACGACACCCAATTAATTCTGTCCTTTCCCCGCTCAGAGACCCAGGTCGTCGCACGCATCACTGCTTGTCTAGCTGACATCTCTCAGTGGATGTCTGCTCATCACCTCAAGCTCAACCTTGACAAGACTGAGCTGCTCTTCCTTCCAGGAAAAGATTGTCCCACTCTTGACCTGACACCTTCCTCGACTCAGACTGCAAGGAATCTGGGTGTGATCCTAGATAACAACCTGTCCTTCACTGCAAACATCGCTGCTACAACCCGTTGCTGCAGATACACGCTTTACAACATCAGGAAGATACGTCCCCAGCTGACACAGAAAGCGACGCAGGTTCTGGTCCAGGCTCTCGTCACCTCACGCCAAGACTACTGCAACTCCCTCCTGGCTGGTCTACCTGCATGTGCCATCCGACCTCTGCAGCTCATCCAGAATGCAGCGGCTCGTCTGGTCTTCAACCTTCCGAAATGTTCCCACACCACTCCGCTCCTCCGCTCCCTTCACTGGCTTCCGGTAACTGCTAGAATCCACTTCAAGACACTAATACTTGCTTACCATGCTGCGAATGGATCTGGCCCTTCCTACATCCAGGACATGGTTAAACTGTACACCCCAGCACGTGCACTACGCTCTGCATCAGCCAAACGACTCGCTGCACCCTCGCTGCGAGGGGGACCCAAGTTCCCATCAGCAAAAACACGTGGGTTTGCTATCCTGGCTCCAAGATGGTGGAATGAGCTCCCCATTGACATCAGGACAGCAGAAAGCTTGCACATCTTCCGGCGCAGACTGAAAACTCATCTCTTTCGACTCCACCTCGAGCGATAGAATTACTAACAAAGAATTACTAACAAAGCACTTATATACTAATAAAGGACTGGCTTATCTATAGCCAGTTGAGTAGCACTTGAAATGTTTGGCTCTATGAAACCTGATGTACTTATATGATTCTGTTTTCTTCAAGGTTGTGTCTTCCTGGTCGAATGTACTTATTGTAAGTCGCTTTGGATAAAAGCGTCAGCTAAATGCAATGTAATGTAATGTAAAGAAAACATCTTCTAATGAAGTGCAAATCTATACAAATGGTGCACCTCATTTGAACAAAGACGCAGAAATATTAACCTTCAATGTCTAAATCAAAGATCTGTATTTTATTCAGGATCTCTGTGCAGCTAAGCAGACTCAGGAACATCACATCCACTATGTCAGAGCCATAATGTCTTCATTTGATCATCAACCTATAGTGAGAAAGATGGTACATGTAGAGGCTCCATTTCAAAGTGTGAATGGTACATTTACTGACGACCAGAAGGTGAACAGGAAGTTATTTTTTAAGTTAACAAGTTAGCTGTTCAATTAAAGCTTAAATAGCATCTTTTTATTCACATTACCCTGTTTTGTTTGTATTTGAAAATAATGCTTCAGTGATAAAAACAGCATTTCTAAGTTTAACATTCGTTTACAGTCAATCTTTGCTTTTATTGTCCTTAGTTTGAAATTCTGAAAGGTGATTGCTTTGTTGTGTTAACCTAAATAATCTAAGATAAATGTATTGTAACAGTTGGAAAACCCTTTTGTCAATCTTCACAAAAACACTTTTATTTGTAATGGCGTTTTAAAGACCTATCTCCAGAAATACATTTTCTCGCCAAAATGTCTCCTCGCTTCCCCTCCGTACGATAATCCCCTCTTCAGCGTAGGACAGTGAACTCAGCAGGAGCTCGAGAGAGAGCCGCTCCCTCTCTCCTCCACCAGCGACGCCTCTCCCCCTAACGAGGAGAGCTGCCGCTTAATGAGGGAGCTCATTAACACATATGGCTTCCATGCTTTAATTAGGCTACACACACACACACACACACACACACACACACACACACACACACACACACACACACACACACACACACACACACACACACACACACACACACACACACACACACACACACACACACACACACACACACACACACACAAACGTGCACACACACAAACGTGCAGATACACATCTTAGAACTGGGGTTACAAAGAGAAAAGTCAATGGGAGAAAAGTTGTGAGAGTCACAAGTAAACCTTAAAATCACTGGAAAGAAGGGAAATTATCCAAAATTGACGACACAGCTGTGAATGACTGAATAACCTGGAGAGTGGCCATGTTCTGGTCGATGTTTTAACCCGGGGTTGAACTGTTTACATGAACCTCTGACAGCGTGATGCAGAATCGCTGTCGCAGCGAGAAGACCAATTAATAGAATATCCCAGATGACTCATGCTGTGCCAAAGAGAGAAACAACAATATGTCGGAGGTTCGCAATTGTTTTTCAGCCAAAGACCTTTAAAAGATAGAACATATTATGGAGACAACCTCAGGTCCCTTTGGAATAATTTGACTTAGCCTTATGCAAAAGAACGAGAGAAGTGTATTAGAAAGACATTAGGGATGTATTTAATTCTACTTTTATTGCATTAGCTGCAGGCTTTATATATACACACGTTGCAGCTGTACCTCAAACAATTATTTGGAGTGCATTTTAACACATGCATTTCACAGAAGCAAGAATGCACACTATTGAAGACTGACAAAAAGGATTTCACAAAATGATCATTTAAATATATCGATCAGAAAATGGACAATTTTATTTTCCTGATTTAAAGAATGTATAATTCAATATATTTGCTCAATGTGAGTCTGTTTGGGCCTAAATACATTTGAACTAAATAAAGAATAAAGAATGTTGTGTATTCTGAACAAACACCTTTGGTTGAGTTACTTTCTAGTCCTGCTGCGCCTGCTGTTCTGAGAGGTATGTTAACAGGAGCAATAATGGGTTTCTAATTTCAACACTAAACAAACACGGCGAGGTGATGATGAACATGCAGCGGAATTATATAAAGTGTTTCAGTTTCAGCAGCGGAAGAAGCTTGTGTTTTAATTCTGCTGTGGTACAGATTTTGTTTTTCTCCAATAGCTGAACATTTCAAATGTACAGCTTTTGTACTTAGGATTTGTTCTATTATCATTAATACGGTGATATTCGTATACAAATAGGGGAGAAACCAAACAATTACATGTACAATTAGAGGTTCAACACACCAAATAGTCCAAATGCAATGACCCTTTGTTTTATAACCATTTTCTGACACTACCACAACTCGACTGTAAGATACGGTTTAATCAAGTTCTTTAGATCAAATTGTGGAATATTTGGAGAAATCTGTAAAGATAACATGGCAAGATTCAGCCGAAACCTCAGGCTCTGTCAGAAAAGTGAATAATATCTATAATACGGAAGTGTCTGCAACCTGTATTCTTTCTTATATCCAACAGGGGGTGATTTCACTGGTTACAAAAAGAGGTCAGATTGTATTGAAGTCTATAAGAAACTGCCCTGACTTTTTACCTCAGTGAACAGTTTCCTGACGAGTTTATTGTGGCAATCACTAGTTTCATGTCTTATTCAATACAGTACATTCAGATATACATGTTGTGAATGAGTCGTTCCTGTATTTTCAGTTCTTGAAGTTAACTTTGAACATTTGGACCAACTAAGACCTCCAGCGTTTGGTTGTATTTCTGGTTGGAAAACAACAACATGGCCACGGCGTTAAACCAAGATGATGACAGCAAGAATGCCAAAGGCTTGAATGCAATTAATTCAACTTAATTCAAATGAAAAAGGTATACTTTTTGCAACACTTTTTCCTTGTACTGTATGTGCAGTTTTTCTACACATCACAGTATAAGCCAAAGGATACTCAGCACAGGTAGATGTAGCCTGTTCGGAAAATACTGAATGTACTCTTCTAATATCAGAGTAGCAGCTGATAAAGGCCCTACGTAGCTGTGTACGTAACATAGCCTAAGACTCACAAAAACAAATACAAAAACATATTTAAAAATACGTATTGTTCTGGAGCCTCTCGCAGCTAGCGAAGCACGTGCAGGACAGAACCGGCTGTCACCAAAATGTGCTCTCAGCGGAGTCATCCATCATGGAGGGGCCTCGCAGGGTCTCTGTCCCCTTGTTCTCGCTCCATTGAGAGCCAGTGGAGGCGAGCTGACAGAGGATAGCTGAGCCTCAGTCCACCTCACACCCTCTGCTCACTCTCACACACTCTCCCTCTCTCACTCTCTTTTCCCGTGCAGTCATGCAGCTGCCAGGAATCCCAAACACACCTGGGCCGCCCGCCTGCTCGCAGCGGTCGGGACAAGTGCTGTCAGGGATTTACAAAGATGGCCGCATTCCTCAGCCAGGCCATTGATCACCAAACATCCGTATAAACACATTGCATCATTAAGACATCATTACAGTCACATCACACAACGCTGGCATCCCATTGAGAGAGAAGGTTCATGGATTTCAATGGAAGGTCGTAGGGGTAGAGGAATCTGAAACTGACGTTGTTGCTAATAATTCACTATAAAATGATGATTTGATTAGCGATAATATGTTTTTAATACCAGGTCAATTATCATAACAATAGCGCTTTTATTTTGTAAGGATCATAGTGTATTCAAGTCCACTAGTTGTAATCCTATAGATTATTTTATATAACACTTACTGCACTTAAAGTAAACAATCAATACTTTAGGTTACTTATTACATGGATTATTACTGTGATTATTATGTGTTATAAATATGAAATAACAGTTATGGGAATTATAATACAATATGATCCTTAAAAAATGACATTAAGTGACCCGCATTTATAAAATCAAGGAAAAATGTTTTATTATGCGTTTATCTTTTTTAAAGCATCATGAATAGTTTTGCGTGCTTATAACTTTAATTATTCAGTGCAATAAGCACAGTTTGTTTGTAATGCATTATAAAAATTGGCATTATAGAGCCAATGTATCTCTTAGGAGAAGCCAAAAAAGCTGATATTAATAAAACATCCTCTTACTTCTCCAGTGCAGCCATGATGATGGGAGGCAGCATCAGAATTGGCATCGGCATGACCACTCTGGTCAGAGCTGTTTCTAAAAGTGCCTGTCACAAACAAAAGAAGACATAAAGACATTACATAAGAAAGCCAGAAAGAAAAATCAACTATTTAAAAAAAAAAAGACAGACATTACATCAATCCCATATAAAAGCTGCACATGAAGAGTTGACGTTGGATAAAAGGTAACCTACGTGTTTGGCAGCCACTTTTGAGGTTCCCACCACGTTCCCGTTGTCGTCGAGCACACTGATGCCCTCCGACAGCTCCGAGTGCCTCATGAGAACCACGTTACAGACGTTTGCAGTGGCTGTAGAGAAGCGAGAAGGTTTTTAAATATGAAAAGAAGTATCAGACATCTATGGATTCGACATATATGAGTTCAAAAGTGAAATGAATTGTCTTTTCATCACTGTGACTCTGGTTTAAAGGTCTCCTATTGTAAACATGTTAGGCATAGATTATAGGTTTCCGATATATAAAAAACATGTCTCTGAAGTGTTTTGCTCAAAATACCAATCAGATCATGCATTTTAGCCATGCCTCATACCCCTATATTTCAGCCCTGTTACTAAAGTGCTGATTCTGGGTCAGTAACTTCAAACCCGAGCTGCTGCTGGATTATTTATGAAACAGTATGGAGCTCCAATGCTTTCTCTCTTGCGGGTTTACCACAAGGTGAGTTCCTTTTTTTATTACCTGCTTTTTTATACATATTCTCTCCAGTACAGCGTTAGCTCTGAGTGTTAGCGTGCTTGCTGGATCAGCTCCGTTGTTCCCCCGTTTTTAGAGATGTGGGTACGGAGGAAAAGAGAGAGGGTTGACACCAGTGGTTGCGCTAGACTTTTTCGCTGCCCGTCATTTTGACGGACAGGATCGTAAAACTTCCGGCAAAATCCAGAATTATCCGTCGGCCTTTACACAACTCTGACGAGGGAGGGGGGGGGGGTCGGGAGAAAGCATGCTAGTGAACTGTCAACGGGGGGGGGGGGGGGGGGGGGGGAAGAGGGACAGTTCACATGCGCCGTGTTATGCACGGCTGCTGCACCTCGCGGGAGCGTGCACAGCGTAAAGCCAAAACTCACAGACATTTCAATGATTTGTACGGCACAGTTAGGTTTGGAAACGGTATGATTTCCTTTTTGGAGGGCATGCATAACACGGCAGAACACCGGAGCCTCGCTGCGGGGAAACTTTGGCGCTGTTCCGAGTTTGTTCTAATCTGTCAAAATGACGGACTGCTTTCAGATTTGTCCGGCATTGTTAAAAAGAATCCGTCATAGACGGAAAATATTCGGTTAACGCGACCTCTGGTTGACACTTTGTGAGTCTCCTGACACCGGGGACACATATTTATGTATAAAAGACATCAAAAAGTGTATTTTGCATAATAGGTGACCTTTAAAGATCAGGCAGCCTGTGAAATAACAGTGCAGAAGGGAGAGGTTCAGGGGGGGGACTCCTTCTGGTGGGCACTTAGGGATTTTAGCCCATTTACATGCCCAAAAACCTATATAACACACTACAGGCAAGGGGAAACCCAAATAAGCATATAGGGCCCCTTTAATTATATAAAATAATAATACTGTGATAAAAGTGGTACACCTGTCATTAAGTGTCCTTCTGTTAGACACTGAATGCTTTAATGACTAAAAAACCCAAATCAGCACATCACAGCCATGTCATAATCCACAAAATGTAATGTTACGCCCGTGTGTGTGTGTGTGTGTGTGTCAAATAACCAACAAACACCGTGACTAAGGTCGACAAATAGCCATGTCGTTACCCTGTGATTTATTCACGAAAGCCAAAATGAACACAAATGTATGTTAATATAGACAGACCTTTCTCCTTGACTCTAATAGGAATAAGAAAAAGTCATTTTAGAGAGTTTAGTGGTGGCGCCGCAAGCCTTTTTAATTTAAGACAACAGCGTTCAGAGTTATCTTTACTGACGGCTGCAGGGCGCGCAGGGCGCTTTGTGAGGGGAATTCAATTGACTGAGCAAATAGCTCTTTCTACCTACAAGGGATTTTTATTATCCAGACCAATTAACAGAGGGACAGATAGTGAGAATTTGGCATGGAATAAGAAAACACAGCAAAAGGATCAAATTCTCAAAAAAACGTTTGCATGTAAATTGATAAAAGGCATCAAAGTAATTATAAAATAAATGATTGGAAAGTCTGCACAGCCCAATCCTGAAATATTTGGCTCGTATTTGTAATTATGTGAAATAATTACATTTATGTACATTCTAATTGTCATCTAATAACTAGTGGTGGCAGTGCACTATAGAGCTTTTCACATAATTACTTGATAATTAATAATAATTAAATATTGATGAATATTTTCAAAAAAGACAGCAAATTAATTATCCCAATATGTTTTTTTTTGCCAGTCTTTCCCTCCAGTTAAAGTCTTCATAATCTAATTGAATGACAGGCCTCTACTTGATTAGGTTATTACAAATAAATGTAGCCTTAAGTAAGCAAACAAAATGAATCAGGTGAAAATTCAAACAGCACTTTACTTTCGCTCGCTTCAATTAACCATTTTAATTACCTTATATATGAGCCAAGCATAACAACGGCAGCAACAACAATGAACAAAACATAAATCAGGTAAATGAGGCCTTGCCATAGACGCCACTTTAGGGGTAATTATCCAATTTGTTTGCCGCAGCAGAGTTCTAACAAGCAGCCAATTACCAGGCAAAGGCTGTGCTGTAGAAACCTGTTGATTTAATTAAAAGAGCCGCCATGTTATAAGAGGAGGGGGAGAGTGAGGGGCAAACCATTTAATTATGAACCAGCAGCATTCTGGGACATTGGTCTTTCCCCCTGGGTGTGTGTTTGCGGGGGAGAGTGGCATGAAAATCAGCTTTGTGGCTCCACACACGTCTGAAGGAGCGCGCTCACAACACCTCCGTATCCCGCAGAGAGAACACATTGAGGGGACCAGAAACAAATCAGAAGTGGTTTGACTAAAAAAAAGCCATTTATGATGGTCACATAGGTGTTTTAAAGGTGTTATTAATATTAAAAGTTAAGAGTCTTATCATTCTGTAACGAAAGCTGCACGGATTATTCATCAGATAAAACAATCAAGAACTATTTCAATAGACAATTTATCAATTAATAACAAATATTTTGCAGTGCAGAAAATGCACATGGAACATAAAGCATAACATAAAAAACGGACTTAATCAATTAATGAAATACGGGGAAAAGAAATGTACATATTTTCCACTTAAACCCGCCTGTACACCCACTTACGTCTGGAAACAATGTCCTACTCTCGTCAGTGAGAACAATACTCGACATAATCTACATTGCAAACTCGACATATGTACAAAAAATGCTTGTACATGCATTCTATTAAATAACAACCTGAGTGAATGCTCTTGAATTTTTTTATATAAGACTGCAATGGATCTTTACTCTTTTATGAACTTCTGTGTTCCATACCAAAGAGACCCTTACACTTATTACCAAACTATTTTTGAAATATTGACCCCTGACCCCTATCCATCCCATAGTTGTTTCCCTGAGCCCTTTGAACTCACCCACTGCTGGGAAGGGGATGAACCTCTGCACCAGCAGCCTGGTGGTCGGGCTGAAGCGGCTCGATTTCTGGATCAACACGTTCAACCCCACCTGAAGACAAACAAGGCACAAATTATACAGACAATACTACACACACAGTGAATATTTAAAATGAATCGAAAGGTGTCAACAATGTTATATATAATAAAATACAAATTATAAAAAATTATAAACATTTTAATTGAATATATAAAATGATGAGTAAGCTAGGAAATCTCTGCAGCACTACTGAACTTCAATCAGAATATTTTTACATATTTTGCCCTATACAAATATTACGCCTACTGCTATTTGGCTGTAGCACTCAGATGTATACAGCTCTGAAGTGACAAAAATGCCTGGCACTGTTCATAAACAACCAAAAACACTTATATTGTATATTGTATTTCACCACACTACAGGGCTGTCGTCAAAAGTCTATGAGCTCTCAGATAACACACTCGGCGGGGGGTCGTCACCAGAGCGGACCTTTAATTGGAGAGCTCCTGCCCCCCCCACACGGCCGTCGGTCCGCCCTCCAGACACCCCACGATTTTATTCTGTGCTCGCTGCTGTGCAGAAGCCTGAGGGCAGCAGCCGGATGAGCGCCCAGCGGGGTCAGTAATTGGCTCGGTTTGAGCCCTGTGTCCACACTGAAGGCTGTGTGAGGCAGGTGTGTGAACGTGTGTCATAGGCTTTTGACATGGGAGTCTTTAAAATACATAAAGGTAGGGGAAAAGGAGTTCAAAGAGTTGAACTGCTAAGGGTACTATGATGGCTGAAATTCAGAGGGTTAGGCTGATATTCTACTTTTGACCATTTGATCATTTTCCTGTCATAAAAATTCAAATGATTTAGCGCTTCAACAACCAGTAAACCAGCAGTAAACCTTTGAACTCTGCACTGAAGCCTATATTTATGACCATTAATTAATTGAATTACTTTACATTTAATTTAGCTGACCTTTTATCCAAAGCGACTAACAGTAAGTGCAATAAACAATGATAGAAACTCAGGACAACAAGAAAAATGCAATTTTGTTCCGCTTCAAATAAACAAAATGTGCTTTTACAAATAATGCCCCTCCTGCAATTTGGATTCAAGTACAATTTTCTATGAAAACCTGATTAATCGCTTATCCCTGCTTAGCAGTGAATGTGTAGCACAACTAGACAAATAGGTCTGCAAATGAAAATAATCTCATGATATTTTAGAGACTTTATAGACATAAAGAAATATCCAGTTTGATATGCAGCTGATAAAAGTCGATCATAATGCTGATTTATTTGTATGCCCATGGTTTAAATGCAAAAAGGATCAATAAGTGGCTCAGATAGTGTGTGTGTTGAGATCCAGCCAGGCATTGTGGGAACTCACAGCGATGGAGACTGCGCTGGTCACCGCTCCGAGGTATCCCTGGAAGAATTTAGAGGCTGGAGCCGGCTGAAGTGGAAAATAAGTGAGATTAAAATATGAAAGCATTTTATGCAACTTGTGCACACATTTTTATATGAAGATAGTACAGTATCGGTCTAAATGGGATTGAGTCACTTAACTGATACAGTACCTTGGAGGCGTTGCGGTTGGAGTAGTTCACACAGGCATTGTGACTCTGGTTTAACCCCTGTAAGGGAAGAAGGGAGGCATATAGAAAGAAGAAGAAGTGAGTTCATTTTAAGTAAATGTACTAATATTACGGTGGATTTAAAGTACAAAATACAACAGCAAAAGACAAACACAAAGACATTCGACCGCATGCATGTTCAGGAAAATGTCCCATCACTGTTTGGGGGCAAGACACAGAGGTTCATCTCCTTTTTGGATTAGCAGTGGAATTTATATACGTTTCTATAAATAAAAAGAACACACAAACATCACTTCTTGATAACCTCCAAATGGTGACCTTTTGTTTAATGCGTTTAGCATAAGCTTGACAACTCGTGTGTTCAAAGTGGATGTTTTATTATATATCTGTTTTTAGGATGCAATTTGTGTTCCACGCTTCTGTCTACTGTTGCGTCTTCCTGTCAGGTGTTTGTTTTGCTCAACCTGTCACTTAATTACTTTTACTTCATCTTGACAGGACTGCAGTGGGAAATTGTATGCCTAGAAAATACTGGAACATTTACAGTAATGTTGATTAATGTGTATTAAATGAGTTACATGAAACTAAAATGTCCGGCAGTGGCTCAGCCGTAGGGTCGCTGGTTCAAGTCGACCCTACCAAACAGACTTAAAATATAGAGTGTGGACTTGTACTTTGAGAGGTCTCAGTTCAACTCCTGGGCCTGTCATGGTGCCCTTGAGCAAGGCACCGGACACCCCCCACCCCTCCTAGTGTGTGCTGTGTGCATGAAAATGTGTGACAAATAAAGAGGGTTTCATCTTCAAATTCTATCTAAAAAGAGGTCTTGATTATATTATTTAACTGAGTTTTTCAGCTGATGATGTGGTTCTTACCTGCCAGAAGATCGTGGACACTAACGTTTGATTTGGAAGAAGGAGGCCAACAACCTACACAAAGATAAAAACCCTTTTACAAATAGATGATCAGAAAACAGAGCGTGAATGATATATTGGAGGATCAATCTGAGTCTAAACAAGATAATATCATTGTATGACATGTGTATACATGTTTCGCTAAAAAAATATGTAGCCTTCAAAATATGGATTCATTAAAATAAATATATGCAAAAAAGTCTTACCACTGGTGTGCCAAATGGGATAAAACCTGTTAAAAGAGAAACATTTAACTCCAGAAAACAGACATTATAATAAATATCCCTATTGTCAATACTAAGTACTGTGAAGAAGCAAAAACCTTGATGTGTTGTTGAAATGAAATTGTTAGTGCGAACTATCAAAGACACACAGTTTAAAGTAACCACAATACAGTCTTAATGTAATGCATGACAGAGAAATGCTTCGACATGAATTTAGTGAGGGATTCTTAATGCATTGTTTAAGTGTTTTTAGTCACAATATCTGAATGCTGCTATTAACCAATGCATTTATTCTCCTACCAAAAAAGTTATTCAAAAATATTCCAAAAGAGGGAAAATGATCAATGAGAGTTTGAGAAACACCAGTCTAGTCTGCACAGGTAGGCAGGCCAAAAAGATTCTACAGCTTACTCCCATTGGTCCTCACATATTAATAGTCGGTGTCTCCTCCTCCCTCATTTGTCCACCCCCCCCACCCCTCCCTCACTTAAAAGTCCCTTTGCTAAAATGGTGCTTTGAGTCTGAACCAAAAATATTTGCTCCTTCAGAGAAGCTCGAGAACTTTTCGGTCACCATGGGAGAGAGGTTTTAATCAGCGCCCAGCTGAGTGTGACCTTTTTCTGGCCTGAGACAACCTGAAGAGCCCCGTGGAGCCGTGACACTTTCCCAGAGAGAACGATGCCTGCATGTTGGACCACATAACAAGCCCCTCCATCTCACTTCCCTTTAGACTCCCACACCAAGCCGCTGTACCTGACATCCGAAAGGGCATGAGGATCTTCTCCCCCGTGTCAGGGTGGATGATGGCCTGTTAGAGGTAGTATAATGACCCGGATAATTAGTACAGAGATAGTTCAGATCAAATGAATTAGGAACAGAGATTTGCTGTGGGATGAAAAGAATGAGGGAAAGTTTTAACTGTTTGAAAAACTATTTAATTAATACAATGAAATTACTTACTTTGCTGTATGTTTTTAATCAGGTAAGTGTTGCGCTTAAAGGTGGGGTAGGTAATTCACTTCAGAAACACTTCTTGTTATATCTCATGGAATGCTCTTAACATCCCGATAGTAATGAATATATTAAATGCTTTGACAATAAATACATTAAAAAATGTCATCTGTGGAAGCCGTGGCACTGCAAAAAGCACGACCAATCATCTGAGCCGGCCCGGCTAAAGTAACTGGATGGCCTACCTGCCTGTCAGCCTTCCATCTGTGCACTAACTTATCTCGTGCCCTCATTGGTCATGTGAGCGTTCGTGTGTGTTGGAGGAGGGGCTCTGTAAGGAAGTCTGAAGGAAGGGGCAGATTTTTTTCGGCTGCGTACTTTCAAATTCTAGCTGGTTTCTCCATTCTTACCTACCCTACCTTTAACTGTAAAGACTGCAGTATGTGTTGTTTGAAATCCACTGAAACCATACCATAACAACTAGAGATGATACAAGATAGTGATCTGTGTTAGTGAATGAGACAAAAAGTAAATAAAAGAGAGAAAAATCTTACCTGCTTTATTTTTTGAGCTTGCCAAAGCTGAAGAGAGACATAACATATTTTCAATGAGATCATGATGGACTAAACAGCCTCACACATTTTTCTGTTAGTAACTGCCTATTTAACTTAATTTAAACTAATCCTTAAACATGTTTTACCCTTAAAAGAGATGGTAGATAACCCACATAACAGCCAAAGACTATGGCTAAACATACAAACATTTTTCAAATAAGTAGCGTGCAAACACAAGCTTTTATTTATTTATCGTTGTATACCAGAAAGACTGCAGCTCCAAACTGCTGAATGTATATATAGTTAGACAATTAAATATAAAATGTCAAACAGAAGATGGCAGCATTTACATCACTATATTGAAGATATTAAAAAGGGAGCTATTTCGAACAACATTTCCCTAGCTATCCTTCAATGTGAACTTAGGTTTTTTGTGAGTGTACCTGAGCATCAGTAACTCCTGGAGGCAGAGTTCCTTGTTTAAAACGGTCGAGCAGCTCCACAGACTCCTGCAGACGTTTCTAATTTGAACACATTGATAATAGATCAGTAAAATACAAAGTTAAATGAGCACAGCTTACCCTGGATGTTTTTTTATATTCCACTTTTCAAGCCACACAGTTCAACGCATAAGATAATTGTGCTTCACTAAAACTCTCATGCTGATTTTCAGTTGACAAATGAGTTTCCTAAAGAGTAATGAACAGCTTTCTGTGGTGTGATCAGTGTCTAATTCGGAGCAAAATACAAGGTCATGTGGCCCAATTTGTTCTAATGAGCTTGCCTGCATGTGTGTGTGTTCCCGTTTCTTTCACTGCGTGTGTGTGTGTGATAGTGTTAGGTGTACACTTTTGCATGTGCGCATATGAGGTCATGTGTGTGTGATTGCACAGCGATCCTTGTTCCACTCTCGTCATTAGGGGCAAGTTGAGGCTACGCCTGGCCCAGCATGGTGCATGGTGTGTGTGAGAACATACACACTCTCCTCCCTCACAGCTGCCCCACATGTCCACACCTCATCATATCCCAGGAGCTACTGCTGCTATTACTGTCACCAAAGAGCCCTCTAACAGCTTCATTACCCAGAGGCACCGGAGCACTGATGACTCCATGAACAAAAATTACCAAAACACAACAAGGAAATAATACCATAATGGTCTGTGGCCGAGAAGGTTGAACATGTTTTTCCTCTTCCAGAGAATCCTTGAGTTTGATAATACATTAGTCATCTAACAATGATTTTCATAACAAGGTCAAGGACATTAATTAAGAACTGTGATTAGCAAGTCAAATTCAATGCAGGCTCTGTGTTGTTTCACATAACATTATTGTGCTTACACTGTGGAATAGATTACTCTAGGTTTCAGGAACACTTCAATCGTGGACCTGGGCTACCTTGTATTATAAGAAAACGTAGTTTTGCTCGCATACTTCCACGTAGAACAAAAACAATTCTTATTTCTATCATTCTTAATGAAATGCATGTGTTTCGCATCCGCTTTTACTTCAATCAACAAGCATTTTCTTTGTGCTTTGACTCTTTGTACAATGTTGAGGCATTGCAGGAAAAACTTTAAATATTTCATTTTGTGGGTGAAGTATTCCTTTAAATGAAAGCTCAAATAAAAACTGAAAATGAGACTGAACTCCTGAATTACCTTACTATAACACAGAAAACTCGCCAACAAAACCTCAGCTCTTACAGTCACCTGCAATCAACAGAACTTTATAACCAGTGAGGCGTCATTTCATGAAAATGGGTGGATTTGCACATGTCGAAGAAGCACTGCCTCAGTCTTGCTACAATCAAAAAAAATGCAAACAAAATATACTTATAAAAAAGCAGAACTCTGACAAAGATACATTCCTTAGACTTAGACTACAAGAGATACCGGCTGCCATTAAAAAGCGCATGATATTCCTGTCAGCTCAAGTACCTCTGAAACGAAGAGTGTGCTGGGGTCGATCACATCCAGGAAGTGCCTGAACCGCCCAGAAAATGTGTTCTAAGAGAAGAAGAAATACATCATAGAAACATTATCTTGCGTATTGTTTGCATTTTTAACGTGTTATCAATGGAATATAGGTCAGGATAAGAAAATGCCTAAAATCCTCATTTCTATCTACTGTACAAGTAAAATTAATCTAAACTTTTGCTCGAAAGAAGGCAGACAGATCTGATTCTGTGTTGTTCCTTAAAGCAACTAGAGGCAGAGATGTTCCAGCTGTTTCCGAATAAACATTGAAGTCTGGCAGATGTTTTAACACACCAGGTGGAGCCACCTCATTAATCCCTCCAACAGACTGTTTCCGATCTGCATCTGTTAGGGACCCAGAATCCACTCACACCACATTTACAATTAATTTCTATAATTGTCAAAGTGCCAGGAAAAACCTTTCGATCATGTATTCATAACTGAGCATAAGGAATCATTTCTGAGATACAGGAACACACCACGCAGCGTTGAGAGGCGACCATCACTCCCTAACTTCAGTTTAATTACACTAACAGCTAATTTAGATGAAAATCTGGCATCTGACTCACGCTTTGTGACTTTCTGAACATATGGATGGTTACTAGAACACCGCATGGGGGAGTGGTTTTTTAAATATCTTTAATTAAATTATTAGAAATGAGAAGCAGTGTACGAGAGAGGGGTTATTTTACTTGTACTTATTGGTGTTGCAATGTATTCTGTGAGATTTACCAACAGGTATTTGTTCACATAATATACTATTACATTATTTCGGTCTGATTTTAGTACTTTCATTTAGGGCTGCACAATATGAGGAAAATATGTAATGTGTAATAACATTGGTGAATATCACATTATAACTTCTGCTGAATAAAAATATATTAAAAGTGTACCTTTCTGCTGCTATACTAGTATACTGCTAAAAGTTAAACACAAAAACAAACTCTTTTGGAACAAATTGAACACAAATTCCACCATTAAAAAAGAAAATCATAAGTAACATTTTAGTGTAGCAAAGTATCTCAAAAATGTTTTCAACCAAAATGCAGTACATGAGTAGCTACAGCTTTTTAGTTATATTTCACCATTGCATATGTGTATGTACAATAAGATCTCATGTAAATGAGTCAAATATACCAAAAAAAGACAAGATAAGATGGTACTTTATTGCCTAGCCAATGAAGAGGATTCTGAATGAAAACATACTGTGTTGTTGAATACTCCATTGTGGCCCTATAACATGTAGGGTAACAAATTGTTAGCTTAGTTGTTGGCTATCAAAATGGTAAGCTATCACTTTTGCTTTCTAGCTAACTGTATTTTATAGTGAATTTGTAATGATTGCATTACTCCTCGCGTTGCGTTCAAGGGTCAAAAGTGGATCCGGATCACTGCAGGACTTTCAACTTAGTTGACCAAGACACAATAATATGGACAAAGTGCAAGCCAAGAGCTATAATACAAGTTTACTTTATTAACTTACTTCTAGAATGACTGTCTCAAACTACTAAACACCATGTTTGCTAATGTTGACAGTGCAACTTAGCTAGCTGATTTAATGCTAAAGCAGAGGAAAACTATGCTTTTACACTCAAATATGTAAAAGTCTGTTAACGCAGAGCAGAGCCCTAGAGAGATAGGGCTCTGACGCAGAGGTAAACTATGTAATGTATCTAATATGATATTTAACTGCGTAAAGTGCATGTGGTAAACTTGAATCGTGTTAAAAATAAATGTACCTGGTCGAAACGAGGCTTGCCATGTTGAAATGTCTCATATTCAGACATGTTGCAGTTTTAACACACAGGTGTATCTTTTTCTTCTTCTTTTCGATAATAATTAAGACAGTTTCACCAACACTTCATGAATCTGTAGCTGCTGCAGGGCTGCCCAGTTAATATCCAGCTGTTCAGTGTTGCATGACGGGAAATGTAGTTTTCCAGGGTGATTTGCTCAGGAAGGATTTCCTTTTAACCGTTTGTTAGCGAACTACACTTCCCAGGATACATGCTTTGTTTACGGTGAGTTAAAAAGGAAGAAAACGGGGTGAAAGTTTAATATCAGAGTGTAAAGTACAGCAAATACTAAAAAGAGAAATCTGGTGGTATCATTGAAGGAAGGTTTATGAGTTTAAAGAGTATAACATAGCCCTCTAGTGGTGGTTAAAAATAAAAGTCAGAAGCAATGATCAAACATTTTGGAAAGGAAGGAAGTGAATTAATAATGTAATAATTCACATTATTTTATTTTGATTGTTTCTCCTCACTGAAGAACTGAACATAAATATAACTATAGGGATTGTATTTGTTTAAATAAAACATGTGTTAAACACCAATGGAGCAAGATATATCACTTTTGATATGACTAGATAAGGTTTTTTTGTTTGTTATTAATGTCTCCCTTGTTTGCATTGTATTTCTTTAACATTGACTACTAATTTGTACATAAATAATAAATAAAATATTGAATATACAATTGGTACCATGGGCGTCACTTTGTGAAGTAGTGAAGAAAACTATTTCTCCAGATTTAACATCAGCATAGCAGAAGACAAAAGACGGTCGGTGGTTTGATTCCCACTATGGCGGAGTGAATTTTGGAGATACACGTTTTAAACAAATGTACGTGTCTGCTTTGCTTCTTTAGTTCGCAGTTGAGATATTGTAACAGGTTTTGTCCTTAAAAAGCAACACAGATTGATCTTTAGAAGTAGAAACCAACTTGTTAAGATTTTTGATGAAACCTCTACAGGTGGCCTTAGCTTAAGGGTTAAATGGATGTCTAAACCTGAAGGTCTGGATTCCATCTCAATCTAATGGAACTAACGAGGCTGTGGTAATTGTGTGGTGGGGACAAAATTGGCCATTTCAAAAAGTAGTGGGGAGATGTCCCAAGCGTCCCCAGCTCAAATGATGACTGATTGGTACAATGTGTACATTTTAAAATCTAGGGTTTGACAATAGATAATAAATAAATACAATAAGTTATTCCTTAAACCAAAAGACCGACATGAAAAGCAAACAAGCAGCTACTTTATTTAAATGATTGACTAAATATTTATAAACATTTATTTTTGCTAATAAGAAAAATGATGAACATAATCTAGGTTTTTTTTACCTAATGACAGCCAAATAGAAAATTGAGCTAGTTATCTTAAATAAACAGAGAACCAGCCTGTAAAGTAAACCAAGATTATAATCAGGTCAGTGGAAAAAACAAACACACCCCAAATAATGATTTACAACCAAACATACGGTGAGCAAGAAACACAAAATATTCTTTATTAAATATACAAAATTTGTGAAACAGAATTGCATCACGAATTGTAAACTTTCCAATCTCAAATACTACCTTAAGAACATTCCACCGGCTACACACTCAAAGGACAAAAATACAATCAGTTTAAACTTAAATTAAAATGGAAGACATGGGAAGAGGACGTTTATTCTTGCGCTTCATAAGTGCCGAGTCACATTTTTAATATGTCTCTACAGTCATCTGCGCACTTCATATTGCGATCACACAGCAGAACTGAGATGACCAGACGGTTTTTGGATGTTTTTTTGTATGCTTCAAGCTCAGTGGCAAAAATCAAGGATGTGGTGTCAAATTGGCCTAGTGCTTAAATCACAGAGCGATTAGAAAGTGCAGTACGGTGTAAAGTAGATCTAACTATACCGATAACAGACAGGTACAGTGATGTTCTGACGATTAAGTAGTGCAAGAACATCCATAAACGCAGTTAAACGTGGCATCAGAATACTTCATGGTGTCTCAATCTGCTCTATAGATTTTGTTTCAAGGCTTTTTTTTGGTATTACACAGAAAATCTGCTCTATTCGTATGCATACAATTTAATATTGTGCAGTGATCTAAAGAATATTGTAACAAAGCATTAACAGAAGTAAAACAAGAAAAGCGAACAGTCAGTGAACAGATGGCTTATCTTCTTCAAAACCTGCCTCAAATGAAGTGCTAGATTTTCAAAACAGAACAAAAATAAGGCAGCATTTGGCATTTCAATACAGCATATATGCTGTAAAATGCACTGTATATCCCTTTGCAACACCTGAAAGCAGAAGCGATTTGCGTGCTTGTGCAGAAGCGGATGTGACAGCGAGGGACGGGAGTCAAGAGCCAGCATGTCGCAGGCATTTCCTCAACAGCGGCGTCATGTTGATAACACACATGGGAAGGCAGGAGCATGAGATCAGAGGAGCTTTTGATGGCTGATCTTGATACTGTCTTCACCTGATAACACCGTGACCCATACAAGAATCTGTTTAGCTTATGTGGCTGAGCATTGTGGGTAATTTCAAGACATGCCCATAGAACAGAAAGAAGGAAAAGGAGCAAGCAAAAGATAAACAGCACTTATCCTGCATAGGAAATAAAACCATTCACTTGCTGGCTAAGAACACTTTTGAACATTCAGAAGCTACAGTCAGTTCCCAGTGATGTGCACGTTGGGTCTGTAGTTTCAAAAACTAGTCAGAGCACTCGGTATTCATTGGGGAACATTTGTAGAGTGTCAATCCAAAACAACATATTTTTTAAAAGGGAAGCAAATCACAGCCAGAGTCCCATTAGGGGGTTTTGCATGATTTTACCTTATTAACCAAATATTGGGCATACTTTAATATATATATATATACTACCTTCCAACGTCTGTTTTAAGATTGTCAATGTTTTGTTTTTTTAGCAGCCATTAGTTTAAGTTCATTTCAAAATATGCTTTTAATTTAGCGGGAAAAAAAGAGATTATTTGTACCTATTTTAAATCTCTTCACCAAGTGTGGAACTTGAGCAAGGATGTGATTAGCTTAGATTAGCATTAAACTGGAAACAGGGGGAAACAGTTCTGTTCAAACCAGTTTTCAAAATGCTGATTATTTTTGCTTTTTTGGCTTTGTTTGAGGGTTCAATCCGAATCTTAAATCTTGGAGTCTATCACTATTTGAACTATGTCCCTCCTTTTAACGACATTAAAAAGATGTTCAGTTTCATTTCCCTGCAGGTTGAGTTTCATGCAACACTGAAATGAAGGGAACCCAGTGGCTGCCTTGAAGGTATAACATCTATCTAAACCTGATGGTGTGCTACAGACATATCCAGCTTTGATTTCAAGAATATGCAGTTTGTAGTTAATGGTCTGAAACATGGTAAACCATCAGAGTGGCTCTCCTGTCCTAAAGCACAGCAACACAGTTGTGTGAGAGGCTGAAAAGCTGTGTGAGGTTTGTAGATATACGCTGTTTTGGACTGACACGCTACCATTTCTTTCAAACATTTTGTGGTAAGGTGATAGGAGTGAGGTGAGGTGAAAAAAGAAGGAATCATTGTTTTTACAATCAGGATTCCAATGTGGACGCATCTGGGCTCTCCTCTGTGACCTTGCTTTGTGAACCTGAAAACAACCTGAGGACCCGCTACATTCAGAACCGCCCGAACCGAAAGCCTTCTACGAGTTTCAGCACAGAAAAGCATGCCGGGTGGGAAACATGGCCGCCCTCCAGACGTCTCTCAGTGCCTACATATTTGTATCAAAAAGGACAGCATAGCAGTGAAAAGACTAAAGAGCTGTTGTGGAGTGAACTGCAAACGTTTGGTCACTTTAGCTTGGAGCGCACTTGCAGGAGAGTGGGCTTCTGCTCCATGATGCGCACCAGCAGCGTGTCTATGTAGTCTTCCAGATCTTTGACCTGCGGCTTCAACTTCTTCAGCTCCACCTCGCGCTTCGCCAGCAGGCGTTTCTGGCGTTTAAACTCGTCCTCCTGGCGCTCTAGCTCGGCCTCCCGCTGCACCAGCAGGGCGACCAGCTCGCTGTGGTTCAGGTGGAAGTACGAGCCCGCCCCCTCCGACACAGGCTGCGGACAGACAGACAGGAAGGGGACTTAAAGGCTAACAGAGATAAAACATGTTACGTCTTTTAATTATATTGCCTTTTTTCAGCCTTAATGGCAATCAATTTAATGTCACTTACAGTTGATCTCTGTGCACCAGAGGATTAATCCCAATAATTAAGCTTTCTTACACTATATGCAAAAACTTTAGCACAATAATAAGCAAACTGGAGACAACCAGGGAGTGGAAAGAAAAGGTACTGGTGTAAATAAAAATAAGCATAGTTATATACACTCTTAAACATTACTCTTAGCATAGGTGTTAGACAGGTTTATAGTTGGTTTTTTAAATCTTTATTCAGGGATAGAAACAGGACAGTTACACAGTGGTGTAATCTATAATTGTAAAAAAATTAATTAAAGCATTTAGGTTATCAAAGTAAAAAGGAAGAAAGTAATTTTACCCAAGATGTAGTAATTGTATTTATTATTTTCAAAACCCTATAAGGATGCCTTGCCTGAAAATCAACGTTTACCAAGAAAGAAAACTAATAAAAAAAGGGATAAAATTGCAATGACACTGTTAGGTAAGCTTTTAAGTGCTTTTGAAACCCTGCCCAGAAAGACAGCGATCAGCTTCCCAAAACTCCCATTGTCCTTGAGAGGTGTTATTTAATTAATAAATACGTTTTGCTCATTGAACATGTTTGCCTCTGAAGGGCAGTATTGCAGTATTTTTCAATATTTTGAATGAACACAAACGGTACCTTCTTCTTGCTGGTCTCCTGCTCGCTCAGCTGGCTGCTCCTCCCCGGGCTGATGGAGGACTTGAGCTTCTCGAGGCCGGTGGCCAGCACGGAGCGGCCCTCCGTCCGCTTCTCCTCCGCTGACGTGGTGGTGGTGAGGGGCTTCACTGGGTGGGGGCTGCAGCAGCACACACACACATATATGGTCAGGTATCACACTAGGTACAACAACATCACCGTGGCTTTTTATTTTAGTTTTAAAGACATCAGGCTGTCTTCCTGGAGGTCCAAAGTTGTTGATATTCATGACAAAACAAAAAAGCCAATTGTCTTAAAGAAGATGTGTCTGAAATTATGCGGAAACATGCATTTACTAAAAGGAATTTTGTTTAGTACTAGAGGGGAAGTCAGCGTTGATTTTCATATAAAGATCCTTCTATGTGCCACTAAATAAAAGTTAAGTCTGCTTGTGACTGTGGGTAAAACACAAGGCTTGTTTTAATTTAATGTATACTATAATTCTTTGTAAATGCATTTCTGCTACACAAGTTTATAATGGGAAAAATAAATATCTATTATGTTAACATTTCCTAAATTCTCTTAAATGTTTTATCGTGACTTATTTCACTTCATCAGGCCTTATTATGCTAATATAAAAACATGTGAGAAGAAACACCACATTTATTTCTATTTCTAGTTAAAGTGACTTACTGTATGTCAACAAGGAGGCCCGAACTTGTGATGAGTTGTCACAAGCAAAAGGTTGCAACTTAGCTTTTATTGTGAAAATCACACAAACACAACCCTAGTTTCTAAAAGAACATCCCTCTTTTGTAAAACTTTGTTTTTCATAAAACCAAACCATCCCACATTGGCTAAAATGAGGCAGCTCTGTGGCTCTTAGATCAAATCAAAGCTGGCCAGTTAACGGAAACACCTCTACAATAATAACACAGGAAAGACATGTTTCCTGTGTCAGTGACCTACATTTACCAGAAAGTCTACCACCAACAGACTAATCATGTACACACTGCAGTGACTCCCATTAATACAACCATAATTGTTTTCATATATATCTTTAACGCATGTAATCAAGTTTATCGGTTATCTGATCACAACATATTGTCCTCTGGACCTCCTGGCAGACATGGATGCTACACAACACATCAACCTTTTAAAATCCCCAGAAACTGTTAATTTTAGCAATCAAGAATAAAAGGAGGTTAGGCATGTCCTCATTAAAAGGAAATACTGGTGAAAATTGAAAGATTTAATTGCATGCGTTGGTGCAATCAAACATGTAGAATTGTGCAAAATGTGTTATTACCCCGAGGAGGAAAGGAAATGCTATCAGTGACACAACAACACCTCTTTTGCTCTCGTGCAAAACCTGGTTTTCTGGTTGAGATGTGTGTGTGTTGGGAAGGAGGGGGTGTGTGGTTAGAAACAGGGTAAAATAATAACTGCTAATTGGCCCGAGGCTCTGTTTCCCCCTCCTGTTACCGCAGAGCCAGGACACACAACAACAACAAGACACCTGCAGAGGAGGTATGTGTATATATATATATATCTCACACATACAGGCTGCATGTGTGTGTGTGTGTGTGTGTGTGTGTGTGTGTGTGTGTGTGTGTGTGTGTGTGTGTGTGTGTTGTGTGTGTGTGTGTGTGTGTGTGTGTGTGAGAGAGTCTTAAAGTGATAAAAAAAAAGAGAAAGTCACACCACAAAAAGAGATTTCCCTTGAGAGTCGTCGGTACAGAAGAGAAAGCAGGCGGAAGCGGCAGACGGATACTGAAAACACCACAGGATAGAAGAGTTTCTGGAAGTGGGAAAAAGTGCTTCCTGTCCACCTTTTCCCCAAGCATGTGCAACCTCACCTGTTCTGCTGATTGGCTGCCTGCTGCTGCCGGTGCATCTCCTCAAGCATTGCCGTGCTGGGTGGTGATCTCGCCGTAGCGTTGTAAAGAAAAGGGAGGGAAAAGGAGCTACTACTTGAAGGAGTTAGAGAGGGAGCAAAGGAGGTCAGAGAGGGGAGGTCAAGGCTCAGAGGAGGAGCCGAGGAGGACGCCTGTATTGCACCGGGATCGCTCCCATAGGAGGGCTGCAGGAGGTCTTCAAAGGCAGGTGTCAGTGTGCCTTCAGAGTGTGAGCGGGGTAGTGTAGTACTTTGTGCCTGAGGGGATTTCGAGAACATGTCACCCAAGACGACATGTTGATATTCCACAGCTTCGTCATCGAGATTCCATGGATTATAGCTCTTGTAAAGGTCTGTTGATGCTGCAGAAAGTAAACCGAAGTTATCCTCTATCATGAAGCTTGGTTTAAGAGTTGGTGTAGTGTCCTTGGCTCCAAAGAAAGAGCCTCCAATATTGTCGAATTCCTCGTGAAATGGATGGCTTCTGGAGTCTTTTTGGTCCAAAGCAGCTTCAGGGGTTGTCTGAATCTCAATCAGATCGCCACACAGCGTTGAGTTTGCAGAGTGCAGCGTCTCGTTTTTCTCTGAGCCGCTGGAGGAAGGTTGAGACACACAGGTTTGGTAATCCTGCGAGTTGGTGCTGACATAAAGGCTATGGAGGAAGCTGCTGGTGCTTTGATCAGACGCAGGAGTGTGCAACATGGTGTCGTCAAAGTCTTGGCTGGGACTGGTGTTGAGGAAGTCGTCAAAAAGCCCAAATGGTACAACTGAACGCTGGCTTGCATCCTGCCCTCCTAAACCAGTGCTCTCAATGGGGGAGTCAGATGAACCGTGCCTCACATCGGGGGAGGAGGTTATGATGCGTAGTGATGGCTGTGTGGAGTACAGTTTATCATCTGGAGTGTTTATTTCAGATATTGAGGAATCATTTAACAATTTAGAAAAATCCTCTACAGATGTGTTCATTTCACCAATGTCTTTTCCTTTTTCATTGTCAGGCTGTAAAGAGATGTCGGATTTTGTGTGTAGTTCTGTTAACAAGTTTGAAAAGCTTGAAGCATCCTCACTCCCCGTATCTCCTGCAGGCTGCTGATGTGATATCACTGGGGACAGCGGTGCCAATGAGCCCTCTATACCGTCTAAATCAGCCTTTTCATCAGTTTCCCAGTGCTGAATAACATTGTGCTTAGCTAAATCAACTAAAGACAGATCATTGGACCCGTCAGTAGTGTCTTCTTCTGATTTTGGCGGCTTCTTTACAACAGATTCTTCTTTACTAAATCGGAGGACGCTGCTCTCAAAGTTCTGTTCTTCGGATTCCTCCAAGGAGAATGCAGGGAATTTGCCTGAAAAAGGAGAGACATCTGACACAAAATCCTTTGCAGAGCTGTTGCCTTTCTTTCCATTTTCCTTGACAGACTGTACAAATATGTTGGGTTTTGTGTGTAGTTCTGGTAACAAGTCTGCTGCATCCTCACTTCCTGTCTCTCCTGCAGGCTGCCGATGTGTAAGCACTGGTGACATTGGTCCCAATGAGCCCTGTATACCGTGTACATCTGCCTTTTCACCACCATCTCTGTGCTGAGTAACATGGTGCTGGGCTAATGACTGATCATCGGATCTGTTAGTAATGTGAACTTCTGATTCTGACGGCTTCCCTTCAACAGATTCTTCTTCTTCACAAAAACCGACGATGCTTCTTTCAAAGTTCAGTTTCTCGGCTTCCTCCTTCTTGTTGATGCCTTCCTTTCCATTTTCATTGTTAGGCTGTAAATATATTTTGGATAATGGCTGCAGTTCTGGTGAAAAGTACGAAAGGTTTGGTGACTGTGTATCTGCACCCTTACTTCCTGTCTCTCCCACAGGCTGCTGATGTGTCACCTTTGGGGACGTTGGTACCAATGAGCCGTCTAAATCTGCATTTTCACCACCATCGCTGTGCTGAATAACATTGTGCTGGGCTTCATCATCTAAAGAAAGACAGATGGACTGGTCAGTAGTGTCAACTTCTGATTCTGAGGGATTCTTTGCAACAGATTCTTCTTCTTTAAAAGAGCCGAAGGTACTGCTTTCAAAGTTCCGTTTCTCGGCTTCCTCCTTGTTGATGCCTTTCTTTCCCTTTTCATTGTCGGGCTGTAACGAAATGTAGGATTTTGGCTGTAGTTCTGATGCAAAGTATGAAAAGATTGGTGACTCACTTCTTATCTCTGTTGCCGACTGCTGATTTGTAAGCACTGTTGACATTGGTGCTGCTAATATGCCTTCTAAATCTGTCTTTTCATCACCATCCCCATGCTTCATAACATGTTGAGACACATTGCCTAAATCCAGATCAATGGACCTGTCAGTAACGTCATCTTCTGATTCAGAGGGCTTCCTTACAACAGATGAATCGGAGGATTTCTCAAAGCCGAGGATGCTGCTTTCAAAGTTCTGTGTCTCGGCTTCCTCTGAGGATGACGCGGAGAATTTGTCTGAATAAGAAGAGACACACGAGAGGAAATCCTCTTCTGCAGAACTGCCCAGGCCTGAAGAAGTCGGATCTGGGGAGCTGCTGCTGAGCTTCACAGACGAGGCATGCCCGGGGCTGGGATGCACGTTAGTGTCAGTAACATCATTTGTGTTAGTAGCAGCGTTAGTTTGATGAGGGTCAGTGAACGCATCTGGTATTGGCGAGTTAGTGGAAGTATTCAAAGTGTCATTGTCATTCTCAAAGCTGGTGTGCTCTGGGATTGTCTCGAGGGAATGTGCAAATGTGTCAAGATGATATGCATTGGATTTCTGTGTATCAAATACAAATTCTGTGCAAGGTTGAGTATGTAGTGCATCATTCACGTTAGTGTTTTGATCCGTTATGGGTTGTAATGCTGCTTTTTCATTGCAGTGTTCCGGTGAATGCTCACTAAGAGTGTTTTGCTGTGTTTTGCAGTCTGTGGTCAGATCCTCGGGAGACTGCAGCCTGCCAGCAGCAAACGCTTCAAAGGATTCGTCCCATTCAGGTTCCAGCGCCCCGGCAGACATAAAATGGTCGGACGACTTCACGTTTAAAGGTTTATCTTCGTATGTGGGAGGTGGAGGAAGAGGTCGTTTCTTAGCGTCGCTCTTTGTACCAACGCTGGAGTCCTCTGCGGTTGGGTTTTCGTCGTTGAGGGTGGGGTAAGGGTTACTCGCCTGCGGAAAGAGCTGAGCTATGGGAGGCCGGGCGCTGGAGAGATAAGGCAGAGTAGGCAGCGAAGGTTTTAAGGGCTCAGCGTTAAGCATGGTGTCATAGAAAGGGTTTTGCTGGATGAAAGATAAGAAAGGGTTGCAGGGGGACATGGGAGGTGAGGTGCTCTGTGAGAAGGGGTTAGTGTGATGCAGGGAAACCAGAGGATCGACAGGGGGACCCGGGGGGTGACTGGGTGGGAGTAGAGGGGGGTGGGAGTCAGTGCTGGGCTCTAGTTTAGGGGACACCACCAGGCTGTGAAAGGAAGGGGACACAGTCCTCGTGATTAGTGTGGATCCCTCAGGTCGACTCCAGGTTTTTTTGGTTCAAATTACATCTTAATCATACATTGATACAGAATGGCTAATATGTTAAACCCACATTATTAAAGACGTATTGTTCTTGCTATTCCCTTAAACACTGTTTGAATTAAGGCTTAGCAGTGTTGCTGCTTTTGGTCTGGAAAATACGTTTTAACCCGAGTTCTTTTTGTCAACTTGGAGACAGTGCAATAATCTATTAACACAATAAATACATTTTACAGCAGGACTAAATGCTGTTATTCACATTTGAAAGCTATTTCATTTTTTTAATGAGGCCACAAATGGCTGTCGTCATATTTTTAGGAAGTCATCACCCTAAAACATTAAAAATAGATTTAATATAGGGGTTATTTAAATGTTATATTTGCTGCTAGACCGCCCCCTTAATAAAGCTAAATGCTTTTTAAACAAATAATTGATTCAGCTGGGTGTAATGATAACTGTGAGGGCTGTCAAAATGTAAAGATGTAAAGATACAGAGCTGGCAGGAAGCTATTGGGTGTACTACACTCTAGAATCGCTGACTTTGCCTTAATCAGCAGGTCCAATATTTTGTTTACGCTCAGTGCAAGGAAACATTACGATACTGTGGTGGTTTCCTTTTTGGTCCTTGTCAGGGAAATCATTAAAAAAACAAGTTAAATAGCTTATAATTGGATATATGACTTTTGAGTAATTGACCAAGACATTTTTTTTTTACTAATCATAAAAGTAATTTTCCATGTGAAAAATGCAGTTAAATATTGAGATTTGGTGTGTTTCTCTGTACTACTGTATATCTTATTAAATACATAACCTTGGACTCACCCTCCTGTTGTTTTCGGGTCAAATCTGACCGATTTACTGCTTTCATCAATCATAACTTTTTTGTTTTACATTCGATTGCATTAAGGCTTTATGATATCCTTCACAGTAGACATTTGAACGTATAAAATTGCTGATCACCACTTTCATTGAATTTTGGATGATTTAGTCAACTTTGTAATACCATGGTGTTCCCGGTAAAAAATTACCGCCATAAAGAAAAGGAATTAGTAACCATCCGGATCAGATAAAAGACACACACACAAACAAACACCCACACACACACATACTCTAGATGTGTTCCCCCCCCCCCCCCCCCCTTATGTGCCCAATCCCCCCATGTGAATCACACCTGGCACACAAACACACAGCAATTTGACACATTTCCCACTCTTATGTGCCCATCAGGTACATGGATCATACCTGGCACACGCAATACATGTTCAGTGTCTATTCTTTGTATATTTACTGCAGTTGTTCATGTATACCAGTAGTCTGATACAATATTTACAGTTTGAAAGGGTGTTAAGTGAAATTTGGTGATGATTAATGGTTTTTGTGTTAATGTAATAGCAGTTAAAACAGGACCGGTCAAATTTGACCACGAACACCAAAGTAATGGGGGGGAAAACTAAGACAATAGGAGGGTTAAGAAACTTGGTTGGACATTTTTCATTATTTTATGACAACTTATACACCATTGCTCTAGAAAAGTATCTGCAGATGAATCAATATTGCAAATAATCGTTAGCTGCAAGCCTTTGAGACACAAACAGCAGCAGCGATGCACAACAGTGAGCAGTACAGGACACGCTCCAGATCACACACACACACACACACACACACACACACACACACACACACACACACACACACACACACACACACACACACACACACACACACACACACACACACACACACACACACACACACACACACACACACACACACACACACACACACACACACACACACACACACACACACACACACACACACACACACACACACACACACACACACACACACACACACACACACACACACACACACACACACACACACACACACACTATTGTTCACATCATCTTTCCATTGAAACTGACATTATCACTGAACCATGCACAAGGCTCCAGCTTGAAGGAGCACCCCCCCCCACATCTGCATTGCAGATATGAGCTGTAACCAGAGACTGAGTCATGTTGGTCGGTACACAGGAAGTTAAAAGTAAACTATTAAATGTATAACTTTTCAAGATATTGTATCTTCTCTGATTATAGATTCTGAGTTTAACCCATAATATCAGAAAATTGATAATATTGATGTATTTTTTTTTTTCAAAGTCGTGATTTTCTCCACATCGCCCAGCCAAACTATTGACTAAATGTAAAATGATGATGTGAGATAAGGTTCAAACCCTCTCACAGTATACAGGTCACCAGTAGTGGCATAGATTAGATACTCAGATATAAGTAAAGGTACTGATACTTAATTGTAAAAAAAAAACCTGGATTTAAAATTAAAAGTCCTACATTTTAAATGTTACTCGAGTTGATTCTCATCAAAATACTGAAAGTACCAAAAGCAATAGTACTTGTAATGCATAATGGTTGGCTTGTTCAAACAATGATATGTATATTGAATTACTATGATTTGCGTAAATGCTGGTGGATATTTTGACCTATAGTTAGTTTTTATAATCACCCGAAAAAAATAATTCATGATCCTATAACCCTTGGAGCTGTGTGATTCCCCTCCTCAGTGATCACAGTGTGTGTGTGTGTGTGTGTGTGTGTGTGTGTGTGTGTGTGGTGTGTGTGTGTGTGTGTGTGTGTGTGTGTGTGTGTGTGTGTGTGTGTGTGTGTGTGTGTGTGTGTGTGTGTCTCACCTGGGTTTGCTGTTCGAGTCCTTTGATCCAAACCATCCCTTGTGTTTCTCCTCGGCGGCGGGGGCCTGTTCAGACTCATCCTTGCCCCGACTCTGCCCTTTCCCCGCAGACTCCCCTCTCCCGTGGGAGAAAAAGTTCCTCCTCTGCTTTTTCCCGGACTCCACCGTGGAGGAGGATTTGATTTGAGCAGCATATCCCAATCCCTCCTCTTCCTCCTCCTCCTCCTCGTCACCCAGCATGGGGCCGCTTTTCTCCAACGCCGCCGCTATGGCTGCCTTCTCCTCCTCGTCGGGCTTGTCAAAGGACCAGCGCCGCCCGTCTCCCATGGGGCTCTTTGGGGCGGCCGAGGCAGGCCTGAGGTTCTGCAAAGACACGGAGAGAGGCAAAGACTTCTGCAGCGGCGGCAGGCCTAGACAATCCACAGGGTTTACTGAGCCTTTGTCCAGGGGCAGGTCACTGTAAGCGTCGCCTCCGTTGACCCACGCGGTCGGAAGAGGAGGCACGATGATGGAGATCTCCCCGGCATCGTCTCCAAACTCACACTGGAGAGAGTTTGCCGTGTGCTCTGCAAAAGGGAGGTGGAGAGGAGAGAAACAATGCAGTTAATCAATTAACTTACTTATTTAACAAGAGGCTTAGTGAGGTGATAAAACCATAAAATAGCTGTGACAAATATTTTTACAGAGGGATGGATTAAAAGCAGACTTACAGTAGGTGTTATAATTAGATGACATTATATTAGATGTACTTAATGATCCCAGATAGGAAACATTTTTGATTTTATAGACGCCCTATTATGCTTTTAGGGGTTTCCCTTTCCTGTAGTGTGTTATATAGGTTTTTGTGCATGTAAATGGTCTGCAAAGGCTAAAATCCCAAAGTTCCCTCCAGAGGGAGATTTTTCTCACAACCCCCCTCAACCCCTATCTCAAACGCATAGTAACATCACTATGCAACACTTGCGCTTCTATTGGCTAGCGGCACGCTCCAACACATTGTACGTGACTAAGGGGCTGGACATCTCTGAGCGGTTGACCAATCACAACAGATCCGGCCAGCTAACCAATCAGAGCAGACTGGCCTCTGGTTTCAGACAGAGGGTGAAAAGAGGTGCTGCAGCACAGGCAGTATGAGAAAAATAAAGAGTTTTTTGAACATTAAAGTGTTAGGGATTCATTTTGTCTTTACTCCTAGACATTTAACCTTATTTTGTGTGTTGACATTTACGACCATCCCTGCTTCTAATCTCCCTTAAGGAATGTGTTAATGCAGTCGTATGTTGATACTAGGTTTATGGCCTGACCTGGTGGGCACAAGGGGAGTTTTCTAAGCTCCAGAGATGTGAGAGACATCTCCTGTGTCTGCAGATGTGTTTACGCCCATCCCCAATATGTGGATTTGACTCTCTGTAAACTAGTTAAAAGGTCTACCAAGATGCGAGGCTGATCAGATTTGACATGGCAAACCACCCATGCAGTCAGGACCTTTGACTGTGTGACTTGCGATGTGAATTTCTCCAGCCGATGCTTGTATGAAATATCAGTGTTTGACATCAGAACTCCTGCTCGTCCCGTGTCTCCTTCATGAGTCGGTGACTCCCACTGCATTGCTAAACAGAAGTTTCCTCCACAAAAGAATGTAGACAAGTCAAAGTAGAGGAATAACATACAAATACAGTATGAACCTGAAAATGAGCATAAAATGTCCTCTTGAATGAAGGATGTATGACTGTGGATTTGTATAATGAGTTTAAAGTCAAATACTCTCCCCCCTCACCTGGGCTGTTGTCAGGGGACAGGTTGCTGCTGTTGCTAGGGGAGTTGGAGAGGTCGGACACCACCATGCTGATGCCGGCGGTGGGGCTCAGACTGCCCCCGCGGGACGACTCGCTGCTCTCTGAGCCCAGCGACGTGCTGGAGCGAGTGTCCGAGGACTTCCTCAGCTTCCCCCTCAGGAAGAAAGTCCTCATCTTGCTGCGCCGGGCCTCCCCTCCCTCGTCGTCCTCGTAGTCTTCCTCCCCGCCTCCGTCGCTCGGGAGTCGCTGTCTCATCCGGTGCAGGGAGCCGTATCCACTCGGCAGCACGGCTGAGGAAGAGTCCTCCTCACTGGATCTCTTCTTCCCCTTGATGCGCTCCTTCAGCTTTCCGAAGGTGGAGGCGGTCTTGTCCGTCATGACCAGGTCGTACATGCTGGCCGTCAGGTTGTTTCTGGTGAACTGCACGGTGGCTTGGATTTCTCCTCGCTCCTTCTCCTTCTTCCCCGACTTGGAGTTTAACTTGTACCACCTGTAACAGAGGAAAATACACAAACATGAGATTAACAGAAAACATTGGAAGAATTAGGATCAGGTAAGTAGCTTTTAAAACAAATTTGCTTTAATGAAAATGTATAAACCTACAGCAACAAGTTCACACTTGTCCTCTTGGAGGTAGAGCTGCAATGATTACATTGACAGGCAAATATTTGCCAACCTTATAAATAAATAAACTGTTAAAGCCACTTCTGAAATATGCAGAAGTGGAAACAGTTCAATAATATATTAAACTGAATATCTTTGGGTTTTGGACTGAAAAAACAAGACATTTAAAGACATTATTTTGGACTTTGAGTGAGAGGGATCGGACATTTTTCACAATTTTCTGAGAGTTTATTTACTAAAACAATTAATCTACAAAATGATCATCACAGATTCTTTGATAATGACAAAATCGTTAATTGCGGCCTCAGTAATAACAGTTCAATAATAAAAAGTAGGTGTTAAAGTACATTTACAGTGTGGGAAAAGTATTAAATATAGTACAAGTGTAATAATATACTTATTGCAGGGTGTACAAAAAAACACTTCACAGAATTATTATCTGTGTTAGCATTTAATAAATTATCATATTGTACTGTTATCATGAATGGAGTTAATCAGTCCTGTGTGTGTGTGTGTGTGTGTGTGTGTGTGTGTGTGTGTGTGTGTGTGTGTGTGTGTGTGTGTGTGTGTGTCCAACTAAACCACAAAACTGTTTGTGGCCAGACATCCAACAATACCCAGGCGAGGCTTATTTTATTTTCAGTGACCGGGTAAGAAAGAACAGTGAAGTTAAACAATGCTCATGTCTTATTGAAACTTAGTGATTGCCCTACATAAAAACCAACAGTTTGTCCCCAACTCCCACTCTAGACGGGCACTGAGGAGCACTTCTTAGAAACGCTGTCACCCGTGGGCGTTACAGCGCCAACAAGGTCACTGACTCATGGGAAAGTCTCATCTGTTCTGTTTTAGAGAATAAAATGAGTGAGAAAAAGTCCCCCAGTTAACATTTGTTTCTGACACTGCATGCTGCCAACGAGCGCAGGGAGCAAGACTGAAAACTTGGTCTGAAACCACAACCTGCTTTTATTTTTTCACTTCCTGTGCTGCAAGGCTATTTTCACCTCACACCTCAACCACGATGCACTTCTCTATTGTTCATAAAGGAGAGGCTGAGTGACACATATCTGCCCAAATAGCACAACTCTGTGTGTACATAGTTCCGGGTTAAACAGGTTTGCTCCAAAATGGATCGGTTTACGGAAACAATATCTAATGTATTAGTGAAAAAACCAGTGAAATGTAAATATGGAGCAAAGAATATAGCCTAGCATTTTTTGCGATAGAAAAAATATAGAACAATTAAAAAAGATTGTCATTTTTAAACCATTTGAAGATGTATATCGCCATATTACTCAGCCATAAACAGGGTTCTTACACCTTTTCCAAATTCAAATACTTTTCAAGGTGCATTTTCAAACATCTTACAGCTGTTGTAAATTACATATTTATACATATTTATACTCAAATGATTATTCCCCTACCTCACATTAAATCAGATACACGAGGATGACAAATTAAAGAAAAGAAAACTAAGTTTAAAAGTAGATCTGTAAGGCATCATCATATATAGTTATATTTCTTTATAATATGTTTATTGTATGCACCATACACTAAGCCAGATTCCTTGTAATGAATTATCTACATGGCAATAATGAAACTTTATTGTGATTTTCTTGATCAATTAAAAGCAAATAAATGACGCTACATCCTTAAAAGATAAGTGAAACTGTGTCAATGCACAAATAGGATGAGTTCTTATTTTTTTTGCTTGATGAAATGGGAAAAGGTCTGTTAAGTCAACAAGAAAATCAAATGTGAAACGAAAGAAAAGCCAGAAAAACAAAGGTTAAAAAGTCAAAGACAAGACTTGAAAGCTGCAACATGAAAGAAGACAAGAAACCAGGCCACGGATGTGAAGGAAATTAGAAAATAACCTCACACTTTAACTTCACAGCTTTCTTAAAAACCAGAGAGTTTTTTATTTCGCCTCAAAAACATTTCCTCCTTTTTTTCTGTAAACCTGAAGGGTGACTACACATAAACTCGGCAACACTACAATGGGGGGAAACCCAAACACATAAAGGCGTCAGATATTCTCGGTAGGGCTACAAAGGACATTATTTTCATTCTGGATTAAAGTATATCGATTTAAGATTAAGAAATGGCCAAAAAACCAACAGAGCCAAACATGACGTCCTAAGATCAAACAATATTTAGCTTAAAATGAATTATGTTTAATTTGAAAACCAGAAATGTAAAACAATTCCATGAAAACAAATCATGACAATATTAGATTTATGATGGGAAAAATCTAGTTTTTGTTATCATGTAAAATGTGTACAGTTAGCATCAAACGGTTAGCATATTAGCCAAAATATTACAAGTTAGTCTGCTAATGTGTATTGTTGTCATATATCTTGTTGGTATTCTATGTTAGCAAACTGTTAGCAACAATCTCTAACTACATGTGTACTTAATAGTTTTCTTGCCACGAAGAAGATTGGCTTTGCATTACATTGTATTAGAACTGTAGATTTGAATTAGTTATTGGATTAGCTTTAAAAGTTAGAATGTATACAACCAAATAATTGTACATTCATTCACAGCAACTAAAAAAATGTTGAGTGGCCTTAACCTATTTTGGATATTGGCCAACAAGCATGCAACATATTGACAAAAGATGCAGCTGATGTATCTCTTCCTCATTACATAATCTATGATGATAATTCAATGTTTAACATGTTGTAAAGTTTTAAATAGCAGTAATCCTGTAATATAGCTTCAATTGAAAGGATCTGGATTCATGAGACCTATAATGTGATGTACTGTGCAGGTCGCTCCATTAAGGAGGCTGTTGTTAAATTGCAGGCTGCTTTTAAATATTATCCAGACTCAGCTCTCTGAGTTTAAGTTTATTTTAAATGTTGATAAAACTAAGGTAATACTTTTTTCAAAAGCCAAAAGGACAACGGAGACCACTTTAGATATTGTTACTACGCAAGGACAAGTACTTGAAGTGGTTACCTGTTATAAATACCTTGGTATCTGGCTTGATGATTGCCTCTCTTTTAAACTTCAGGTCAATAATCTGATAATCTGAAACTAGGTTTCTTTTTCAGAAACAAATCCTGTTTCTCGCTTGAGGCCAGGAAAAGGCTAGGCTGCAGTCGAATAGTCCATTTAGTTTAGGAACCTTCCTAACGGAGTGAAATGACCCGGAAGTCCCTCAGTGGCAGCCATGATAAGTGCCGTTCCAATTCTCTAGAATGATAGGAAAGGAGGTTTCAAACTTCCTTTATAACCTCCTTTATCTTAGAAACCACTGGACCTCCCTAACCGAAAGGAGAGGAGAAAATGCTGCCCCACAATGCATTGCAGCCGCAGCATTTGACGTCACACAACAGTCGGCCGTTCACGGACACAAACGATTATGGGAGAAATTATATCATGAAAGTTACGGTGCTTATTAAGCTTTTAAAAACGTATGTGGTAAGTTGCCAAAGTGCTTTGTTTTGAGCGTTCATCAGTATTATAATGAAAAGGAGAAATATGAGCGTTAGTTTTTACTGAAATGATCAAATAAAGTCAACATCTCAGTCTTTACTGAGCTGTGTGGGGTTTGTTCAACTTTTAAAAGATGTTTGAATGGTGATAAACACAGTGATAGATGTTAAGGACTAACGTTTATAATAAATACATTTGTATTGATTTTAAGATCTTTTCATAGTTCATACAATCATACGTATTGGGATCATTTGTATTAATGTGGACCGGAGGGAGAGGGTGACGAGCATAAGTTTCACTTTCCTTTTTTATTTCAATTCCAACTTTGGTCATGAAGAATATGTTTCTCTGTTATTCATAAAGCATAAAGCAACAGCATCAGAGCACGGTGCAGAGTCTCTAGATGAGTTTACAGTACCTCGTTCTTATTGAACATCCATGTTGTAGTCCGCTGTATAGAAAACTATAGTTTCCCCACAGCAGCAGACGCACATTCATGACGTCCGCTGGCGCATCATAAACACGTCGGATCGTGAAAGTGCATTCGGATTCTCTAAAGTACCGCAGTCTCTTCTCCTAAATCCTTTTAAATTCTCCTATCCACTATCCCTTAACCCCATGACGTTTCACTCAGAGGTCAAGGAATAGACGATAGGGTTAGAACTTAGGAGCTGATTTTTAAACTATCCAAACGCAACCCTAGTCTCTGTGACCTTTTTACCTGTGCGGGACTATGGTGATTTTATCTATATGAATGCACCTGCCCATTACCTGATCAAGTTAGATGCCGCGTATCACAGTGCACTGAGATGTGTTACTAACTGTAAAGTATTAACTCATCACTGTACCCTGTATGCCAAGGCAGGTTTGCCTTCACTAACTGTACAGAAGCTCAGTCACTGGTACATTTTCATCTACAAAGCCATGTTGGATAAACTACCATTTTATATCTGCTCTCTGATCACACGGCGAATTGAAAGTAGCTATTGCCTGAGATCTCATGATGTGGTTTTGTTAAATGTGCCAAGTGCTAGGACTGTTTTAGGGACAAAAGCTTTTAGGTGTGCAGCTCCTCTAACTTGGAACAGTCTGCAAAAATAATGGAAACTGAGTAATTTGGTTCCACTAAATGTTTTTAAAGCTCGGATAGATGCTATGCAATCAGATACTGTTGGTACCTGTAAATGTCGTTAGGTATGTAAACTATAATCCCTGTAACTATGCTCCAAGATGTCCTTTTTGTTTTTCTGTTGTTTTATGTTATGTCTTCATGTGGAACCTACTTGCAGCAGGTCTCCCTTGAAAAAGAGATCGGTGGGATTCACCTGCTTAAATAAAGGAAAAAAAGTAAATAAAAAATAAACTCAGTGCCCTTATTTTCATTTTGTTAGTTCTATTCTAACATGCAAGTTATTTGTT